TCATAGCACCATTATTCACAATAGTCAGAAGGTGGAAACAACTCACGTGTCCCGCGATGGATGGACAGATAGACCAAATGTGGAACCTATGTACAACGGAATACTATTGATCCTTAAAAAGGAATGAAAATCCTGAGACATGCTACCACATGGGTGAAACTTGGAAATGGTATGCTAAGTAAAATAAGGCAGGCCCAAATGGACAAATACTGTGTGATATCACTTAGCTGTGGTACTTAAAATAGTCAAATACATGAAGACAGAAAGTGGGAGGAGGGTGGTTACCAGGGAGTGGGAAGAGGGAGACTGGGAGGTGTCTGATGGGGACAGAGTTTCAGTTTGGGAAGATTGACACGTTTTGGAGACGGATGGTGGTGCTGATTGCCCAACACTGTGACTGTATTTAATGCCACTGAACTATATACCCTCAGAAATGTTAAAATGGTAAACTTTATATTATGTATTTTTTAACCACACATGCACACAAAAGGCACATAGGGATCTGCAGGGTCAGACCAGATGGCTGGGATGAAAGGATACTGACACCAGATGAAATGTAATGGAATCTGATCTCGACAAGAACTGTGAATGATTTGGAAGGCTTTATGCTGGGTCTCACTTTGAGATGTAGTAGGTCTGACTGGGACTGAAGAATTTGCATTTCTAAGGAATTCCCAGGTGTGTTTGTTATTTATTGCTGCATGACAAATTACCCCATATCATAGTGGCTTCTTTTAAGAACATACATATATGTTCACATAATTTCTGTGGCCCAGAGTCTAAGATTGGTGGCTCTGGCTCAGGATCTCTCTTGAGGTGGTAATCAAGCTGTTGGTTGGGGACTGAAGTCATATGAAGACTCGGCTGGAGGACCCAGTTTTAGGATGGCTCACTCCCACCTCTCTTAGCAAGAGACTTTTGTGCCTCCCTAGGCAGATCTCTCCAGATGGCTGTCTCACCACACAGCATCTGAATTCTCCCCAGAGTGGGTGCTTCAAGAGACAGAGAGCAAGCAGGAAGACAGCTTTTGTGACTGGTATCCAAAGTCTATCCTTCAGAGACAGGTCATTAAATCCAGCTCATATTCAAAAGGAAGGACTTCACCCTTTAAAAGGAGGCATACCGGGGCACCTGGGTGGCTCAGTCAGTTAAGCGTCTGCCTTTGGATTGGGTCATGATCCCGGGGTCCTGGGATCGAGTCCTGCATCAGGCTCCCTGCTCAGTGGGGACTCTGTTTCTCCCTCTGCCCCTCCTCTCACTCATACTCCCTCTTGTGCATGCCCTCTCTCTCAAATAAATAAAATCTTCTCTTAAAAAAAAAAAAAGGAGGAGTACCAAAAGTTGTAGACGTTTTAAAAAAACAATACACTGGGTATATTCCTGGTGCTGCTGTGCCATAAAATTGGTGTCTTAAGCAACAGAAATTTATTGTCTCACAATTCTGGAGGCTGGAAGTCTGAGACTTCCTAAAATATTATCATATTGGATTAGGACCCATGGCAATGACCTCTTTTTTACCTGGTTACCTCTGGAACAACCCTTATTTCCAAAAAAGTTCATGTTATGAGGTACTGGGTGTTAGGACTTCATCATCTGAATTGGATGCAATTTAACACACAATATAATTAGGAATGCCGAGGTTCCTGCTCTGGGGACCATACTTTTGAGAACCACTGATCTCATCCACCCCTCGGTTACACTAATGAGAAATGTAGGTTTTCCATAAGCTAAACGAACCACCGAGTGTCAAAGAGTTTGTGGCAGAGTTCAGACGATAACACATATTTCTTGATCCAAATTCAGTGCACTTTCCATGAACCATGGAGTGTTTGACCCAAAGTTCTCTGAAGAGCTCAGTTATTTGTGGACCCATGAAGACTTTGTGCTTTTTCTAGGCTAAGTTTTTTCACACTGATTCACAAAACTCTAGTTCCAGGAATCTTTTAAAAGGTGTGTGTGTGTGTGTGTGTGTGTGTGTATGTGTGTGCGTGTGTGTGTGTGTGTGTGTGTGTGTGTATGATTTTTCTGGAAATGACATCATTCTTCATTAAGCAATCTACACAGGGAAGAGGAAGAAAGAGATGAAGAAGGGATAATGAAGGAGAGAAAAGTAAGGAAATGGGATATGAGAAACACAGGAAAAAGAAATAACAATTGGTACCAATTTACACTCCTGACATAGCCTGCCACATCTCCTGGTGTGAGTCATGGCAGGAGGTGAGATGAAATCAGCTCTACCTGTTATGTGTATCTATATTTTTAGAAATTCAAGGATAAAATGAACACCTGTATGTCCACCAGTCATCTAAAGACAAAGAACATTAGCAGGAACACTGACACTTCTGTGTGCTCTGCTCACGGCACCCTCTTCCTCCTTCCTGGGTTATTTACTATTCCCAAGTGGGTGTTGATCATGCTTTTGCTTTTCTTTATGGTTTTACGACAAATTGGGATAGACCCTTAAACAATATCTTGCTTCATTTTACGTGGTTTTGAACTTTATGTAAATGGAATCAGACTAGGTAAGCATATGTGAATTCTTTTTTTTCCTCTACCTGGTGAAACCCATCCATATTGTGTGGTTGTGGTTCATTCATTGTCATTGACATCCATCCATCCTCTGATCAATAAATGGTTACTTTTGCTGTTACAAAAAAAAAAACCCACAAAAGAATGTTATGAATATTCTTATGTTTATGCACTGATGTGTGTCTGCTCCTTGGTGACTTAGCCACAGAGACTACACCAGGTGGAGCTGCCTGAGATCACGTGAATCTTTCCAAAGCCATGTTCCCCAGAGCAGGGATAAGGAGGTTCATTTTATTAGGGTTTGGGATGGATATTTAGAGGGGAAGGTTTCATCATCACATGCAATGGTCAGGCATAGAGTTACACATTTCCACTCAGAAAACATGTCTATACATATGTTGTATGTTATGCTAATGAGGCTATGTTCCTCTCAGGGTGGGGATTTTAACATTATAATGAAACTCAGATACTTCATGATTCATCTGTCCAGGTGTCTGTTCTGGGGGGAGGGTCATATTCAAAGTTTTTTTTTTTTTTTTCTTATTCCAACCATTTGTTACTTTCTAAAAGATAAAAATTTACAGTTAATCAGAGCTTCTAGAAGTTTCCTGATTTCAGGGGTCTCGCTGATGACATAGATACACATCTTCTGGTATACTGCCCAAGAATTTATGATAATACAGGCTATATACCTAAGACTGTAATTGATGGATTGTAGGGTGTATTCCTTTTAACATCATTGATTGATTGGTTGATTTCAGGAGGGCTGTACTCACACCAGAAGCATCTACAAGTTATTGCTACCTCACATCTCAGCAGCACTTGTTAGTTCATTTTGACTATAAGCTGACTTTAGAACCAAACCCTCACATTAGATGTGATTCCACCGTATTGGACCTTGGGGACTTTATGATCCTTGTGCTTAGGATGCCTGATGCCACTGACATAAGAGGTGTTCAAAAATGAGAGGAAACTTAAATGAATCTAAGCTTTAGCTGAGTGGTAAAACTACGGTGGGTTTTTTTTTTTTAATATTTTAAAAGTTTACCAGTATGTTCCTGATTCCAGTCTTTTTTTCTGACTCCAAATTATGTACCTAATGTCAACCTATAATGGTTTATTTGTTCCAAACTCAAAGGCTACACGGGAAATTTCATGCAGCAGTCTAAGTGTTGCCCCTAGAGGCAGGAAATGTATTACATTCACTTTACTGTAATCTAATGAAAGATTGTAACATGGATTTTAGAAAAAAAAAAAAAAAGAAAGAAAAGAAAAATAATCCCTCACCTTAATTTCTGAACTTACTTAGTTCTTATACGTTCCAGAATGTCATTTTTTAAAAGAAATAGTAAAAATTCTGCTTTCACATATTTATTTGTTTTCTATTTAATGAAATACCCACAACTAAGTTAAAAACCTTTTTTGTGACAATGTGTGGGAACTGCTGTCTAAGGGCATCTATTTGAATGAGCTATGAAGATTTTTGGTTCCCAAATTTGTGAACCTCTGCCAATTTCTGATGAAAGTTTTACTAGTCTAAAATGTAGTAACAGAACAAGAGTGAGTTTTCAATACCTCAAAATACATTCCATTTAAAAGAACACTTTTTTTTCTGAGATTATGTCATTTCTACCTTTTTAATGACTAAATGTGTTTTAAGAAATGATGGTGTATGTATTTGCTTGACAACTTTGTGTGTTTGTGTTTTAATTTTACTGATCCTTCCATTCTAAATGTTTGGAAATCCTTTCAGAGCGGCTTACTGCATCATTTAAAAATGTATTTTGTAGAAAACACCCTGGGAGTTAATCTCAAGGGCCCACAAGTCTCCGAAAGCAAGGTATACTCATTTTTATTCCATGACGGTGTATTTAATTCCGATTGGATTTCAAGTGAGGCTTAGCGCTGACACTGGGGAGAGGCGCGTAAACATAGCTAAGGCTGTTTCGTCCTCATCTGTGAATGGTTTAGCCTGCGCGTTATACAGTTCAACAATAGACGTGTGAGCACCATGGAAAGTAGAGTGGTTTGGCAGTTCTGGAGGCAGGTGGAGACCCTGGACCCTGAAAATGTGGAAAGGTAGAGAGAAGGGGAAACCCATAGTAGAAAGACATATATAGCAGCCAAGGCTTGGAGTTCATTCTTACGTGAGCAAGAACACCAGCCTCTGCTTTGGCGCGAGTTCTGCCGTTCAAGGAGAGCTGGCTCGAGGTGCAGCCCCAGGCAAGGAAGGAAGGGCTGGTTGAAGAGCCACGTGAAAAGTCGTACCGAGACTTAAACAACCAGAGAATTCAGCAGCTGCTGGAGAGGAAAGAGGCCAAGCCCTTCAGTTTAGGACTACAACGAACAAGGGGGTGGAGCCGGACACGCCCCGAGGGCTCACACACCCAACCAGCGACGAGCCGCTCCGGCCCGCAGAACACGTCCCCTGTTTCTTCCCGACAGCCCCCGGAACCTAGCTCCCACCCGCGCCTGCGCAGGCTTTATCAAGTCCTGCCCCTTTGCCGGGCCGCCTGGCTCTCCGGTAGCCAATATGGCGACTCCCTGTGTGTCCTGCGGCGCAGCAGCTTTCTACCGGCTCTTTCTTGGAGGTAGGGTTAGCCTCACCCGGAGACAAGGCGTTTGGAAAGCCGGGGCTGTTGAGTTGCAGACAGGTACTGGATTCCAGGTAAGGGAGAAGCACTGGTCCGTGTAGCGCAAAGATGTGGAGACGCGGCCGCAACCTTCCCCTGGCGTCTCACGTGCGCTCAGACCGGGACTTAGGGGTCTGGGGTATTTAGTAGAGGTCTGAGGTTGAGAGAGGAGGAATGGCTGTTGGTTTGCAGCGGCCAGTCGAGGTTGTTTCTGGTTTTCGTAGGGTGCGGTGAGGAAGTTGTCTGCAGACGGAACTAGAGTGACCCCTCTTCCTTGAGTTGGCTGCCAAGCTAAGGGGAGTCCGTGCCTTAGGTGTGGTGTAGGGTCGGGTCCTTCCGGCCTGCCCGCGGTCCAATGGGGAGGAGGGCCGCGCCAGGGGAGGTAAATGAGAACTGGACTCCTGCAGTAGGCTGGAAGACTTACTGGAGAAAGTCACAGTGGATAAGATTGACAGTGATTTTAAAAGTGCCTTGCATCTGTGCAGTTTCTGTTTTCTTAATTTTCCCCCAACATCTTGTCTCTGGAGAGAAGGAGACCAGAACTTTCACATTTCCTTTACTCCTGAGGGCAGTGAGAAGCCAAGATTTTAGCTTCACGGAACTCAGTTGGGTGATGGTGCCATTTGCTGACATGGGATCTCAAAAGGAGGGAAAAGTTTTGAGAGGGAAGAAAACGAGTTTAGTTTTGGATGTAATTATGTTTATTATATAGTTTTAATTGGGATGTCCAAGTGGAGATTTCCAGTAGGCCCAAAAATTGACAAATTTATAGTTCAAGAAGAGATCTGATTTACAAATCCTCCGTTAACTTGTAGATAGTAATCAAGGCCTTGGAAGTGAATTCAAACACCTGGTGAACGTGTCCTGAATTGTTATAAGTAGAGGGACAGGTCCTGAAGGACAGCAGTCAAGAAAGAACATCCTAAAGATTGAGAATGAACTGCTAAAAAAGTAGGGTGGAGACCAGACAGTCTGATGTTCTTGAAAACAGGCGAATGTTTTCAGTAGGGAATGTGATAAACAAGTACCAAATATTGTCAAGAAGTCAAATGTTATATAAAAACTATTGAAAAAAGGAATGCTGTGTATTTTTTATTATCTTTCTTTTATATTTTAATCTATATCAACCAGTCCATCTATTCATTTATCCATCACTTATTTTTTAATACTTTAAAAAAAGATTTTATTTGAAAGAGAGAGAGCATGAGCATGGGAAGACACAGAGGCAGAGGGAGAGGGAGAAGCAGAAGCAGACTCCCTGCTCAGCCGTGGAGCCCTACTTGGGCCTCCATCCCAGGATCTGAGATCATGACCTGGGCCAAAACCAAGAGTTGGATGCTTAACCGACTGAGCCACCCAGGCACCTCTTAATACTTTATTATTGGAAAATATGTTGAAACTTTCATTTTTTCATGCATCTCTTTTGAGTATATTTTCCTTGCATATGCTTAGTTAGCTATAAACGGGACTGTAGCATATAGAATGTTTTCATTGCTGACACTTTATGTGTGTATGTGTGGGGTGGGAGGGGTGCTTTCTGTCCCTCCCTCAGACTCCAGAATCTGTGTATCCTCTGTCTTTCTCTATGATCCTTTTTATCATATGCATATATACGTGTCAGTGGTAATGGTTGATGGCCATTTATTTTGTTTCCATTTTCTTACCATTAATATGTTAATATTCTGTAATGATTCTTAGGTACTATTCCTTTTATTTGTGTAGAAGAGCATTCCAGTTGGGAGTTTATTGTTGCAAAGTATGTGTACATCTTACATTTGAATAGATATTTCCATATAGCTTTCCAGGAAGGCAGTAGCAATCCACACTCCATCATTGATATATGAGCGTGCCCCCTTTTCTACTGGCATTAGCTATTTTTTTCAGTAAGATGGGTGAACAGTGATTTCTCCTTGATACTTTAATTTTCATCTCCTTGACTGAAATAAAGCTTTTTTTCCCCTCCATATGGTAAATGTTTACTGAGCACTTTACTTGAGCCAGGCACTGTGAAGTAAACAAATCATTATCAAATAATTAGCAGACAGTATTGACCCTTAGCACTCTCCAGGGATGATCCCGAGACTGCTGAATCCCCAAATTCCTTTGTAGTGTCACAGCTTATATTTTACCACAAGAAGCGCATCTCACATATAACTGAAGGACTTAACTGACCCCACTCAGACCCTTACTATTACCATATATGTGATTAAAAGATATTCATAAAAGTTTTTTGTTTTTTATTTTTGGCACAGAGCTTGTCTGTCTTAAATATTAATACTCCATCACTTCTATATCTAACATTAATAGTTATATTTTTCTTGGGCTACCTGGGTGGCTCTCTCAGTTGGACATCCAACTCTATTTGGGCTTAAGTCAAGATCTCAGGGTCATGGATCAAGTGGGGGGGGTGGAGCCTGTTTAGGGTTCTCTCTCCCTCTCCCTCTCTCGCTCTGCCCCCCACTCCTGCGCACACACAAACGTGCTCTCTTTCTCACTCAGGAAAAGAAAAACATAGTTACATTTTTCTTAGGGGCCATATTTCTAAAACTGTGGAATAATAATAATCAAATACATCTCATAGGGTATTTTTGCATTTTTTTATATGTATAAGTGTGTCCTAGGTGGTGATCTAAATAGTAGTTATTACTGTGGGTCACAGTCAAAAAAGTGAGAAACACTGATGCCATCTGGAAAAAGAAACAAGTTCCATTAAACTATGACTCCTGTGTGCTTAGTTGGGACCCTCACTAGCCGACTTCCTCTTTTGTACCCATCTTGTATACATGCTTTGTATTAGTGCCACTACAATTGCAAATATCTAAGTGAACCAAATTTGGGATGGAGGAGGGAATCTTGTTTGTGAATGGTGAAACTTCAGGTTATAAACCCCTGAATATCAGGGACCTACACACAGTTTACCATAAAGGTTTGCAGAGGTAAGTACAGAAGAGCACAGAAGTGCAGTACCTAGTGCAAATGAGTTGAAATGGGTAGAGTGATGGGCGGCTTCTCAAAGGAGATGTTACAGTCTTCAGGAGCAGTTAGGACTTCATGAAAGAAGAGAGGTGTTCTGTTCTATGATGATGTTAATAGGTAGAGAAGGGACAGAGACCTACAGAGTCAATGGATCTAGCAGCAACAACTAATTGGTTATAGCAGTTATAATTGGTATAATAATTGGTGCAAGAATGGTGAGAGATATGAAACTTTGGCAAGGCCCAGATTATGATCTGTTTTGCTATACTAAGGTACTTGGGCTTTTTGTTTTGTTTTTTGTCTTAAACTAGTGAGAGCCGCACTGGCATTATAAGCAGTTGACAGTCATGATGTCCTACAAAGGCTACCCATGGATTCCCAAATCCTCTGTCAATATAATGTAAGAATGTTAATTTAGCTTTCTGAAATATTTATGACTTTTTAAAAAAGATTTGTTTATTTTACATATAGAGGGAGAGTGTGTGTGAGCACGGGGCAGGTAGGTCAGAGGAAGAGGAAGAGAGAGAATCCTCAAGTAGATTCCCAGCCCCCCCCCTCCCCCGCTGAGCACGGAGCCCAACCTGGGGCTCCATCTCAGGACCCTGAGTTCATAACCTGAGCGAAACCAAGAGTGGGATGCGTAACTGACTGAGCCACCCAGGTGCCCTTGATTTTTTTTTTTTTTTTTTAAGATTTTATTTTTAAGTAATCTCTGCACCCAGCATGGGGCTTGAACTTACATCCCAGAGATCAAGAGCATGCTCTTGACTGAGCCAGCTAGGCACCCCTTTGACTTTTATAATAAGGAAAACCAGTAGACCAGTTTCCTGTTTTGAAAGCTAGTATTATCAGTTATCAATGATACATACCTTTAATTTTATTTTCTACCAGACACTTAGTGCTTAAACTTTCCATGTTCACTGGGTCAATACCCGCCCCCCTTGTTGAATCGGACTGTCTGCCAAGGAATGATCAGTGACATTTGGTGGCTTAGCCCTTGTGTATTTTGATTTTATTGTAAAAACATTGTTCTTGTCTTAAGTATATGTTCTTTCCTTCTCTCATCTTATGGGCACCTAGAGATTATAATGTCCTGTATTTATCATAGCATACAGCTGGTTTATGATAGGGTCTTAATAAAGTTTACTGATAAATTGCTTAAAAACTCTTTGAAATTAAAAATTGACTTCCATTTGTATCAAATGCTGTCTGCAGCTCTGTAAATTGGTTATGTTTTCCCCTAGGTAACTTTTGAATTTTTTAAAAATCCCATTTTATTAGCAATGGATATTAAAACCCCTTTGATGGGATAAGGGTTTTTTTTTTTTTTTAAGATTTTTTATTTTATTTTATTTATTTGACAGAGATCACAAGTAGGCAGAGAGGCAGGCAGAGAGAGAGGAGGAAGCAGGCTCCCTGCCTAGCAGAGAGCCCGATGCGGGGCTCGATCCCAGGACCCTGGGATCATGACCTGAGCTGAAAGCAGAGGCTTTAACCCACTGAGCCACCCAGGTGCCCCAAGGGGTTTTTTTTTGTTTGTTTTTTTTTTTTTTTGAGATCTCATCCTGTCCTTTTAAGGATAGAGTTAATGTACTAAATCTACTTGTATTATGCTTCATTGTTCTAAGTAGGATGATGAATTAATTAGTTACTTATTGCTGCCTAACAAGTTACCCGCAAATTCTGCACCTTATAAACAGCAGACATTTGTTATTTCATGGTTTCTATGGGTCAGGATTGCAGGCACAGCTTTGCCGGGTTTTCCTTCCAGGTCACCCATAACATAGCATTCCAGGTGTTGGCTGTGGCTCCAATTGTCTCAAGGCTAGAGGGTGGAAATCTTCCTCCCAGTTTGTTCATTGTGGGTGTTAGCGGGATTCATATCCTACAGGCTGTTGGATGGGCTGTTGGCTGGAGGCCACCCTCCATTCTTGTCAGGTGGGTCTCTGTAGTACAGCATACCACATCTGGCTTCCATCAGGTTGATCAGGACAGGGAAGAAAAAGAGGGAGCACAGTCTTTTTGTTACATAATCTTAAAGGTGACATTCTGTCACTTT